GCACACAACCCAGTCAGCTGAATTCCTTGGCAAGAGGTCATTCGAAGCTGAGGACGCTGGATTTGAAGAATGATGGCCAGACTTCAAAGCCAAGGGCTACATGGTAAGAGATATTCAGAAAAACAAACTTCATGTATGTATATCTTTTCGTTAGATTTATAACCAATCCTTTGGTTTCCTTCTATGCTAATCTTTGTAATATTGTAATACTGCATTCACTTTTGCCTTAGTCTCCCTAGAAAGCAGTGGCAGCGGTTCAGCTAAGGATGAAGTTAAAATAGAAGGGAAGCCTGTCTTTCAGTAACAGGACACCCTTTGTAATATTGCTCTTACTGTCAGCAGAGTAGGTCAACAAGCTTAAAGCAGACCTTGGCACAGTGGGCCTTCAGACATTTCAGAGCTGCTGTCCAATCTTATCATATGGTGAAACGATATAGAGGAGCATCCACCCAAGAATGAAACATCTGAGTTATTCTTATTGCTCTAGTTGCCCCACTCAACCACTTGGAAAGAAAAGAGGAACAAACATAGCTCTGATTTATTTAAATGCAGTTTATTCACTGAGAAAATATAGGCAATTGGGAAACTAAGACTCCCACCGCAGAGACCACTTTCTTGAGCAGTCCCAGAAGAAAAAGAGGGTTAATATTCATGACGCATAAGTAGCACATGGTCTCAAGTCAAACATTAACAAAACTTTAAATGGCTTGATGGATGTCAGAGCTTATCTTTTGCTCTAGGTTGAAGCTAAAGTCTAATCTAAGTTTGCTGTAGGTGTTAAATTCACACCTCACTGTAAGATTAGCCTGGGATCATTCCACAGGTACTCTGAACAGGTAGAGAGAAATCACAATTTGACCTTTCCCACCCAGCACTTTAACTATGGCAACAATTCAATGTATGTATATATGTGTATGTGTAAATGTTGGGAAGATGGCACAGCAAAAGCTGTAGTGTCTCCCCAAGAGTTTCCTCTTTCAGTAAATGAACAAAGAAATTAAATGGCCTAGTTTTAGCTAAGAGAAGGCTCCATGATGCTAAAACAATTGGGACTTTATATAATTCTGGAATGTGCACGGATGGTCAGAATGTATATACAGTATTTCTGGATTGTTATAGGTGAGCACAGTCAAACATGAAGATTCCAACTCCTTGGATTGTAATAATTTTAGGCTTTCTCCTTCTTTAGCTTGACTCTATCTCCCACTCCATACCTCCACTGCCACTCAGAGATGAAACGCATTTCTAACACGTTTCTTCTATAATTTTGAAGAATTATAGATTATTATATAGAATTATATAGAAGAGGAATAATGTTATTGCCCAGATAATTGGTTGCATTCTCCCCTCTTTGGAAGAGCTTTATAGCTCCCGCTGCCTTAAGAATGTTCAAAACATTCTCAAAGATCCATCTCATCCTGGGCACCCTTTTTTTGAACTATTACCATCTGGCAGACGGTACAGGATAATAAAAAGGACAAATAGGCTGAAAAACAGCTTCCATCCCAGGTCATAGTGCAATATTAAAGCAATATCAGGGATTTTCAATTCAATGTATAGAATGTGAAGGAAGTGTGTTTGTGTTTATTTTCAGTCATAATGTACACTGAAGTCAGCACTTCTTCACTCTCCTACCATTGGGTAGGAGATATAGAAGCATAGCCAGCCGCACCAATAGGCTGAAGAACCGTTTCTACCCGTAGGCTGTTAGACTTCTGAACGGAAAATAACTTGATGCCAACATAGTATGATAGACTTGCAGAGCCGGTGCATTGTGCAACAAGGTGACATAGTGTAATAAGATTGGGACTGGGTTAGGGACTTCTGTCCTCACTGTGAGTTGTCTTGGGGGGCAGGATGCATGAAGGGAGGCTCAGCCAATCTCATTGTACACATGCTGTACTCTGACAATAAAGGTAATAATGAAGATGGTCTTTAATTTCATTGTATGAGGTGCAATGACAATAAAGTAAACTAAGTAACTAGGCGATACCAACATAAATGGCGTATTATTATTATTGTGTTTTTCCCTCTTTCTTTTTAGAAGCAGAAGCAGTGATCATTGATCCTCAGTCTAGAATTGAACACGATTCTATAAACACAGGAGAGAATCTCAGAACTCTTCGCAGAATTTAACACCTAAAGGAGAGATTATATGTGACAATTTAGGCAATCTTTTCCTATCTACTTCTTTTAAACTACCAAGATGCCTATAATCCCTAGTAGAAACAAATCCCCCTGCTTGCTTGGGCTGGGGATTGTGAACCACAGTATAATCCACTGTATACAAGGGACACGAGCTTCAGGAATTCAGGTGTAATATCACTGATGAAAGCAAAGAAGAGGACAGCCAGTAGCAAGATGGATGGGCTCAGGTTGCAGTGGCTATGTGCACCATTGGGAATCCTAAAAAGGCAGGTTAGGGATAGATCATTAGGGAGAAAATCTATATTTACTTGTTCGTTTGTATCCTGCCTTTATTATTTTTAAAAATATCTCAAGCCCCAGCGAATATATCCAAGACACCTTTCTTCCTTTTCTTTTTCCCCACAAAACAAGGTGATTGCTAGGGATAAAAATGACTTGCTGACATATAATCAATCAATTAATCACTCAATTCACTGATACCATCCAGTCAGACAATTTTAGACTCCGGACTTAATAGCAGAAATTTCGTTTCCAGCAAAGCTCTGAAAGTACAATTTACAACATCTAATTGTTCCATATACCCAGGTAAGCAGAAGCCCCTCTCCTAAAGTAAAATTTCTAAAGTCAAACTGAGAGCATTTTTTTTTCTGAACTTCAACTTTTGAGAGCACTTTTTTTCTGAACTTCAACTAGAGTTGATTTAATCAACTCCAGCAAATTATAGTTATAAAAATTACAGTATATAGAAGGTTAACATATCTGTGCCTAATTGTAGCCAAATATTCATTCTAGAGTTAAGGAAGGGGGTGGATGAATTAACTGCAAGATTTTCTGAACTTCCAGATTGATTTAGTGATGATATTTTAGCAGCAAAACCCCTCCTCTCTTCTCTCTTCTGCCATCGTTAACCCCACCAGACGTTTTCTGCAATGAGTAATTTAGGTTCCACTCCATGTTTCCATAGAGAGAGGAAAGAAAGTTAGCCTGGTGAAAGCAGCACCATAATGTTGCGACCCCAATTCTATGTCTTGCAAAGTCACACCCATGCACAAAGGGGGAAGAGCTTGTGATTTAACTACACCATGCTGCTTCCAGCATTCTGATAAAAGCAGAAAGCTCCTCTAAACAACAGTACCGCCCTTCCCAATCCTCTTCCCTTTCAGTACTCTTCCCATAGACAGTGCCCTTGAATACTTTGCAGACTTCAGGCCACTAACCAGCCGTTAGCAGCACAAACATTACATAACCCATATTAGAGAGACTAGCCATCCTTGCTCTGGACCGAAACCATTAGTCCACCTTCAACAACCCCTAAAGCCAAGTACATGTAAGCCAAGAGCAATCCTTGGTGCTCTCTGAGTTTGCTTGTTTTCTTGCAGACATTTCATTACCCAAACTAGGTAACATCATCAGTGCTAGTGCTATTAATGAAGCATCGGCAAGAAAACAATCAGGCTCAGAGAACACCAAGGACCCCTCGTGTCAACCCTGAGCTACAAATATTCTTCTTTATTAGTACATGTAAGCCATGTTAGCTACTATTCATCATCTCTTTGTCAATGCTGCTTCTTCCCAAAATCCTTCTTGGTGGGCAGATAAACATTTGATATTTCCAGTCCCCCACTGCTTTTGTGAGAACTATTTCCTATCAGAGTTGCTAGACCAGGGGTGTCAAACTCAAGGCCTACAGGCTGCATCCGGCCCGTGGGGTGCTTAAATCTGGCCCATGAGGCCTGCCTGCAAAGGACTGGCCCGCGGTGCCTCTGGCAGCCAAAACGGGGCACGGGGGGGGGCACACAGTCTCCCCATACTCTGTTTTTTTGCTTGGACGGCCTCCTGTAGCAATCTGCTAGCCAAAATGGGGTGCAGGGGGGCATGTGCGATCCCACCACCCCATTTTGGCTGGCGGAGTGCTGTAGGAGGTGTCCATCCTGTTTCACACACACCCCCGGGGCCACCTGCAGAGAACTACAATGCTGATTTGTTTGGGTGTCTGCATGATGCATCAATATGTGAACAGCCAGCAGAAAGCTATGGCTGAAAACAGGCTCATCATAAACTGAATTAATAAAAAAGAAAATATGTCAACATTAGTGAGCCTTAGCAAGAGCTGATTATTTTTTCTTCCAACAGTTGAGTTTTTGGCATTCTCCGAATTTGGTTGTTTGTTGCAATCCTTGTCATGAGAACATCAGAACATCCCTGCTGGATCCAGTCAAAGATTTGTCTTGGCCTCCATTTTTTTTACATCAGAAGCCAACCAGATCTTTATGAGGAACTGAGGAACAGGACTCAGCTTCTTATGTTTGGTAGCACCACTAAGGTTGGAACTATCACCAACCTTCTTCCTCGTGAACTTGCTCTTTCAAAGCTATCCAAGTTGGTGGGCCATCTCTTGTGATATCACATCCACATTGGGGAGGCCTTTTCCTGGTGTAAGCAGACCTTAACAGAAGATATGGCCAATTTTCTGGCCTCCCCCGGTTAACAATACATTCAAAACTATTTCCTCATAATGGAAGTAGTATTTCCTTGATATGCTGTTCTCCTGTCTCATAGAGGAGTATATGCCAACAAAGCTTGTTCAGCTGTACTTTATGCCTTTAATCCAACGTCTCTCGCTGTTTAAGAGCTGGGCCCATGTTTTTTAGACTGATACAACCTCTAAGCCATTCATGTCACTTGTGACACTTATGAAAATGAGCCACATGACATGCCAGAACAATAACTCCCATTCTTGTTATGCAATGGCCTATGCTTTTGTGCCTAGGCAAGATCATCCCATTATTTTTAAAGAAAAATAGATCAAGAAATAACAATGCAACAAAATAATGGTAAAATAACAAGTCCAATATTGCATTACATTTTAAAATTTAACAGCATAACAATAAAGGCACGACAGATACATTTTTTAAAAAAAATTGAGAACATGCCTAGAAATTTATATTACAAGTGTTTCACATAAATTTATCAGATCCATTATGTAGCCCAAACTTTGACTTTAAAATGAATCCTTTCCATCAATTAGAAAGATTCTGAATGTGTTCCAGTATTGGCAGTGTTTTGCAGAGAAGTGAAATGTTTCTCATTGCAAGCTCTGTTGTTTCCAATACTGTGGTTTAGATGCCACAGGACAGCCTTAGAAAATATGATTCATCCTAGTAATAATCATCTGTTCATGGTTGGCAAACTGGGAGGATACCATAAACACCATCAAAAGGAAAAAAAATGCAACAAGCTGTAACATTCTGGTTCTTTGAAAGGAAAATAATGCCACTATATATTGTAACAAATCAAATCAAATACATTTACAATGTACAGTCTCCAAAGGCAAAAGAAAAAGAGTTTTTATTTAATTATTTAATTAATTAATTACTATGCTGCCCATCTCATCTACAGGCAACTCATTAATATACCACATTAAGCTAAAGTATGGTTGCTTGCTTTTTTGCTTAGTGAATGTAGTAATGTCTTAGTAATGTCTGAACCCAGCCACTGTGAACTATGAAACTAAACCCTTAGCACAAGGTGCAATTCCAGACAAATATGTTTTATTTAACAATTGATTACATTATGATTAAATTATAATTGCCAAGTACAAATTATGAATAAATTTTGATTCACAATATTGCAGCTTAGCCCTACAATATTCAAAAGTTGAACCAATTGATGAAAAAGTGATGAAGAGTTTTTCCGAGTCTCAAAAATCTCCTTTCAGGGCAAAATTTCCCTAAAATACCATGTCAAAAAAAAATCGTTGCTGGCCAGTAGGAATCTGAAGGCATTATCTGAGATTTAGAGTAATATATGACCGCTGCTTCTTATTTTATTTGAGAGATAAATATTCATTTCAGTGCCAGACATTGTTTAACTAGCAGAGTTATAATTTCAAGTACCAATCTTATTGCTTTAGTGAAAGAAGTTTGTGATTTCACACCACAAAAAAAAGGCTTCATTCAGAGAGATTAGTGATATGACATTGCAAAGACTGATTTAATTGCCAGAGATTAATCAGTCATTTGCAGTTTCCATGAAACAGGAAAGGACAAAAGTAAATAGAAGATGATGTTTGTGTGTTATTGTGAAGCAATGTAGATGTGACCTCAGGAATGGGGAAGGAATGAACAAACTGTGAGAAAGAAAACTCAGTCCTAAAGGAAGAGAACTGACTTGATTTAGTGTAAGTCAGATGGGGCGGAGAGAAACTCTGATAAGCTTTCAAGATGATATTATTTTACTCTACAACAATAAAGAGCATTCCCAGAATCCCCTCCAGCGTCTTTTTCTTGAGACTTCTTCCTCAAAGGAAGGATTCAGCTATACAGGTGAAACTCAAAACATTAGAATATCGTGCAAAAGTTCATTTATTTCAGTAATGCAACTTAAAAGGTGAAACTAATATATGAGATAGACTCATTACATGCAAAGCAAGATAGTTCAAGCCGTGATTTGTCATAATTGTGAAGATTATGGCTTACAGCTCATGAAAACCCCCAAATCCACAATCTCAGAAAATTAGAATATTACATGCAATCAATAAAGCAAGGATTGTACATAGAACAATATTGGACCTCTGAAAAGTATAAACATGCATATGTACTTAGTACTTAGTTTGGACCCCTTTTGCAGCAATTACTGCCTCAATGCAGCATGACATGGAAGCTATCAGCCTGTGGCACTGCTGAGTTGTTATGGAAGACCAGGATGCTTCAAGAGCAGCCTTCAGCTCTTCTGCATTGTTCGGTCTCATGTCTCTCATCTTTCTCTTGGCAATGCCCCATAGATTCGCTATGGGGTTCAGGTCAGGCAAGTTTGCTGGCCAATCAAGCATAGTAATCCCACGGTCATTGAACCAGGTTTTGGTGCTTTTGGAAGTGTGGGCAGGTGCCAAATCCTGCTGGAAAATGAAGTCAGAATCCCCCATAAAGCTCATCTGCGGAAGGAAGCATGAAGTGCTTCAAAATCTCCTGGTATATGGCTGCGTTGACCCTGGACTTAATGAAGCACAGTAGACCAACACCAGCAGATGACATGGCTCCCCAAATCAACACAGACTGTGGAAACTTCACACTTGACTTCAAGCATCTTGCAGTGTGTGCCTCTCCATTCTTCCTCCAGACTCTGGGTCCTTGGTTTCCAAATGAGATGCAAAAGTTGCTCTCATCAGAAAAGAGGACTTTGGACCACTGAGCAACAGACCAGTTCTGGGGTTTTTTTAGCCCAGGTAAGACGCTTCTGACATTTGTTGTTCAGGAGCGGCTTGACAAGAGGAATACGACATTTGAAGCCCATGTCCAGGATCCGTCTGTGTGTGGTGGCTCTTGGTGCACTGACTCCAGCCTCAGTCCACTCCTTGTGAAAGTCTCCAACACTTTTGAATGGCCTTTTCCTGACAATCCTCTCCAGGCTGCGGTCACTCCTGCTGCTTCGGCACCTTTTTCTTCCACACTTTTCCCTTCCACATAACTTTCTATTAATGTGCTTTGATACAGCACTTCGGGAACATCCAACTTCTTTTGCAATTACCTTTTGAGGCTTTCCCTCCTTATGGAGGGTGTCAGTGATGGTTTTCTGCACAACTGTCAGGTCAGCAGTCTTTCCCATGATTGTGATTCCTACTGAACCTGAGAGACCATTTAAAGGCTCAGGAACCCTTTGCAGGTCTTAATTAGCTGATTAGAGTGGGACACTTTGAGCCTAGAATATTGTACCTTTTCACCATATTCTAATTTGCTGAGATTGTGGATTTGGGGTTTTCATGAGCTGTAAGCCAAAACAATTATGATACATCATGGCTTGAACTATCTTGTGTTGCATGTAATGAGTCTAACTCATATATTAGGTTCACCTTTTAAGTTGCATTACTGAAATAAATGAACTTTTGCACGATATTCTAATTTTTCGAGTTTCACCTGTATATTATCCATCTCCTTCTCCAAAGCATTGCCTTTTTAAAAAAAATTGAAAATATGACAATCTTACCCTTGTCAAAGGCACAATTTTTACAAAGATTTTAGGAGTTTGCATTAATCACTCTAATTATGATGATGTTTACTCAGGCAATAAAAAAAACTCATTTCCATCACAATTTACATTTGGCCAAGCCTGAGTTTAAGTCTACCACATCTAAGTTGTAAAAAAAACTCTAAATGACTTCTCGATGCAGGAAAAGAAACAGAGAAAGTCATACTGTGGTCATCCAGGTTTTAGTAGATTATGTACATTCCAAGATGAATCTTGTTGAATTTTGCCTTTTCATCATACTCCTTTTCTTTGTCTTTTTCCAAAATCTGCAACGGGATTTCTTCGTTCCTGTACATGCAGATTAGTGAACAAACAGCAAATGTTTTAGTCATCCAGTTGAACAGACATAGAGTCACTCAGGCGATACAATTGAAGCAAATGTGAGACTCCAATAGCTCTTTTGCGTTGCTTAGTTGGTACAATGCAATGCATGTATGAGTGTTGCTCCTGGGGAAACGGTTTTCATTCTTCATGGCAGAACCTAACAGGTATGGACAAAAACTAATATGATGCAGGATTCAGTCCAAGAGCTCTGTTTTTAATGTCAGAGGAAGATAGCAACTCTGACGAGAGATACAATACTTTGCCTCATTGCTACGTTATCAGAGTTAGCCCCAGTGAGTCTGAATGTATGAGATAATTTTCCAAATTGCAATAATTCCTTGGAATATCCATGATGGGGGCATGTTTTGGGCATCTGTGGAAGCCTTCCATGAAAATGGCCTATGTGAACCTGCTATAATCCTGACTAGCTTGCAAATAGCATGTGCGTACACACACGCATACACGCACTGTTCTCAGAAGTGAAGTTTTATAAACACTGCTAACACTGCTGTCACAACAACAACTTCTGAAATAATGAGGCTTCCTGAACTTCATTTAGACTGGCTCCAGAAAGTTTTATGCTATTGTCCAAACAACGCCAACCTAGAAAATGGAATTTTAGCAAAGTAATTTTCAAGCAAAATATTTTATCTGGATAGTTTCTTAAAAAGGATTGAACATCTCACTGAAAACTGGTACAAGACAAGCAAGCCATTTTGAGTTTAGCTGGCACTGCACCTTTCCGAGAATTCAGCATGTGGTGTGTTGTTTCAGAGATTTTGTTTATTTTATTTTTATCCCTACAGTCCTTTGGCTACAGCAATTTCCAAGACAGAAGACATCTTTTCCAGCTTGTATAGTTAACAGGACAGCAGAATTTGAAATGAGATCATTGCCTTTAATACAGTCTGTTCCTATGTATCACCTTTGCTTTGCAACTGACCTTCTAGCTTGACTGTGACTCATCACTGAAAGAAACCATACCTGTGCATACGCTCTGGTCATCTGAGACTAACAGACAATATATTCACCCTGGAGGGATCACTTGTTTACTAAGCAGGTGTGGTGGCATTATTTGTCCATACAATTTCTGCCTGGGAAAAGCATTCTTTCTTATGCCTCCCTCCAAGGCTCTTTACCTATCATACATTTTATTTCAGAAACTTGTAATACGTTACATTTAGAAAAATGTATGACATATTTTATAGTTTGAATGTTGCAAAGCTGAATTCTGGGCAGGAGCACTAGGGTGGATAATCTTATTTTATTTTGCTTAAAAAACAAAAGCTAGTGACACTACAGTGACACCTCAGTACTGTCCCCTGATGCTGGTCATCCCCACTTGTTGAGGATGCCTAGACTATAACTGTACAGCCATTTCAATTTAAAATATTTTCCCCAATCTGAATATGATGGTGATCTGAGACCATATTAAGCAAATGAAAGATGCACTCCTGCCATTTGAAGTATTAAAGAAGCGTTCTGGTTTTAAAAAGAGCTGTTTGGTTGCAGTCTCAGAGGGCTGCCTTAATAGCACACACTTGCATGTAACAGCCTGAGATTAGCCAACCTCATGATCCTTGCTGTCTTGGTAGCTTTGGATACTATTGATCATGGTAACCTTCCAAAGCAGCTGTGGGGACTGGGAGTGGAGGCATTGTTTGGTGGTGATTTTCCTTCCTTCTTCTCAGCTGGTTCCAGTTGGTGTTGACAAAGAGGAAGAAATCAAATCTGTGGCCCCTTATTTACAAGGTACCTCACTCATGCCCTGCTCACTTCAGGATGGACTCTTGTACTCATTTGGAGGCTATTGTTGGTGCAGAACCCAATGATACAACTAATGTTGGACACTCTGCCCACGTGACACCACTGCTATGCATGCTGTACTGGTTACCATTTGGCTTCCAGGTCCAATTCAAGATGTCGGTTATCACCAATCACCAGCTATCATGGTGGTTGAAAATTCTGGAAGTTGATAACCGCGTCCTGATCAGCAAAAGTTCATTAAGGGGTACCAAAAATAGCAACATATCTACTTCAACCTTGATCAAATAAACCTACTTTATACTGCTTTTTTACTACAATCTTGATCTTTTAATCCCTTCAAATAATGTTCTAGACTAGAGCTTGATTTCCTTTCAGTTTTTCCTTGCCCTTCTCACAAAATTCTCCAAAGCTTTAACAAGACTCTTTTGTAAATCCAATATAGGAGAAAATTTCCAGGCCGTTGTCTTGGTTTGTTGTTTGTATACTCCTTTTAATTATTAACACATCAGCTGGTTTCTTTTGTGTGACCTGTTTTGCATCCTTTTCACATCATTCTTGTCGTTTGTCATTTTAAAATCCAGTTTATCTTGTCCAGTAAAACAATTTCCTTTTCCATATCATTTTTAAATAGTCTATCTATAGAGGAACACATTCTTAAAATTAACTTTTGGATTAATTGTCCCCAAATATCTATGTACAATGTTAAAATATTTTTCTCCATTCTGTTATTAGTGAAATCAAATTTAAGTATTACTCTCCTTTACCTGTAATCTTTAGCTCCTTCCTTCTAAGTGTCTGACCTTCAAATGAATTAAATCAGATGTAATAGGAAAGGTGGGGTGGAAAAACTGTAAAAATGATGTTTCTATCATTCCAAAGCTCAGTGAAACAGAAAGAGAGATAGAGAGATTAATATTTTGAACCTACCAAACTGTGTAAGGAAAAACTTCTGCTTATGGAACAAGAATTTCTGGTCTTCTTTGACATCTTAACAAGCTCTCCCTCCACATTTATTCTAAAACACGTAACTCTCCATGATGTATTTTGAGGATGGACAGAGAGTTTGTCATGGAAGGGAAATGAAAAAGTATAATTCCACACACAATAAGCTGGTTAAATAATTAGTTCTTCTGAAGAAATGTGGAAACCCTAGTCCAGGGCGAGACCAGGGAATTTCTTGCACCCTGATTGCCCCCATGCAGTGCTTCAGTTTTGGGGAAAGAATAAACAAAACTCGAAGTGGTATAAAAACCAATATGTTTTATACTACAACTGCTGTAGGTTGACTGATAAAATACATCGCTGACATGTCTGAGCATTTTAGCCATTCCCACTATAGACTTGCAGAAGCTCTTTTCTGACAGGATCTTTTCCACTGCCGTTTGTGATTCTGTCTTTGAGCCCAAATAGAATCAAGGAATACAGCTCCACCTCACAGCTATTTTGCCTGCTTAACTTAAAGAAAGTTGGTGGAGGAGAAATAATAAGAATTGGCCATGGTCTTCAATTTGGGCAGAAGAGCTTGGCAGGAACCGGAAGGTGCTGCTGGTGCTTCTCAGCATACCAAAACTTTGGAACACACCAGAACTGCCGCCCACCTTGCATGATATAAGCAGATGAGATACAAGAAGTCAATGTGCTGAATTCCACATGACAATCACAGCTGGGAAAAGGGAACAAATGAAACCATAGCTCTCCTTTAATTACCTGCCCAGGATACAGTTTTAATGTGCCTTAAAGGTTCCCTCTTTACTTAATTGGTTCAGGAACTTTACGTATTCAACTTTAGTTCTCTGTAAACATCTCTAAGGTAATTAATCACTGAGAGAGAGAGAGTGATTTCTCCCCAAACCACGCTAGAACCTTTGGGGTATATACCAGTAACTCTACAATTTCCAAATTAAACACTTAGTCCAATTTGAAAGGGAAATATAACTTCTGAAATCATCTTGGTTGTAATTTTAATTAAACAACTGTTAAATGGCTCATAAATTAAGCTCATAACTTTTTTTTAAAATGACGCATTTAAAAATGATTCAGAACTCATTTGATTTAATGGACTCTAAATGATGTGAAACATATGTGACATCCTTGTTACATCTGTTTTGCTGAGCAAAGCTTGAGCTCCTTGAGATACAATTCTTAAGGATAACATTTTAAGTAATTAGATTAGGAAAGTTGAATAAAGGGGTTGGTAAACTGGTACCCTTGAGATTTTAGATTGTAACTTCTATCAATGTTAGATAGCATGACCAGTGACAAGAGATTATGATAGTTGTAGTCCAAATACATGTGGAAACAAAGCTAATCTACAGTATTGCCTCCCTCTCAGGTAATATGTATTGGGTATGAAAATTCAGACAATGGCAACCTGAGCCATAAAGGTCTTCATAGTGATAACCAGCACCTCAAATTGGACCCAGAAGCCTATTGCCAGGTCAGGAGAGGTTATTCTATCTTCCACAGGTAGACAGTTGTATTTTGCATCAGATGCAATTTTCAGATGACCTCTAGGAGCAATTTCATATAACTAAATTCCAGTCGTCTAGCCAGGGGGTGATTACAAAGGCATGAATCACTGTTGTCAACACCTCCTGGTCCAGGAAAGGCCAAAGCTATCAAAGACTCTCTTGGCCATAGACTCTACCAGGAGTGATGGGAGTCCAGAAGAAGCTTCAACTATATGGGCTCCATAGAGGGAAGTACAGATAATCCATGACTTACAATCATTCAATTACTGACCATTCAAAGTTATATCTGCACTGAGAAAAGTTACATGATCATTTTTCCCACTTATGACCTCTGTAGCATCCCTATGATCAAAATTTGGGTGCTTGGCAACTGGCATGTATTTATGATGGTTGCAGCATTCTGGGATTAAGTAGATCACCTTTTGTGACCTTCTGATAAGTAAAGTCAATGGGGAAGGCAGATTCACTTAAAAACCACAGTGATATCACCTAACAACTGTGGCAAGAAAGGTCGTAAAATGGGGAAAAACTCCATTAGCTGTCATGCTTACCAAAAGAAATTTTGGACTCAGCTGTGGTCGTAAGTCAAAGATTACCTGAATAACTTTGTCAAGAACTATGCATGAAACATCCCAGTCTTGCCATGATTTAATCTCACTCTGGTACAGAACTATAATTTCTGATGAATTTGGGTGCATGGAGCCCAGCAGTCCCTTCTAAATTTAAATGCACTACTACGCTGAATGTGTGCCAATGGGTCTATATCAATTCTTTGACAGTGCATCAGTCTGTAAGCATGGTTTATTGTAAACATTTTGTTCAATCCATCAGGCAAGTTTCACTGATCACTACCCTTCCCCCCACGTGAGAAAAGTGTCTCTCAATAGCAATATGCAAGAAATTCCACTACTAGCAGGATCAGAGCTTGACATTGAATTTGACATTACTGTACAGTTCTCACCAACGCAACTTTTTGTTAATGTGTTCAGGTCAGTTTTTGACTCCTTGCAACTGCCTTGACAAGCCCATGTAATTTTCTTGGCAAGGTTTTTCAGAAGCGGTTGACCAGCACCTCCTTCCTAGGGCGAAGAGAGAGCGATTGGCGTGAAGTAGCCCAGCTGCTATGTGCCTAAGGAGGGACTAGTCCTTGGTTCCTAGATTGGTGTCTTAACCACTAACACCAAACTGGCACCCTACTAATTGCACCTTGTAAAGCTGAAATGGAAAAGTAAGAAGGGTGGTACAAGGCAGAAGGCAGATATTGATACTTTAGGGATAGGCTGGTTCTAGGCTAAAGGGCCCTTCCTCCTAGGCATCTATTTTTTTAACCTCACCCTTCCCAAGAAGCCCTAAGCACATCACTAAGCTATCCTGAGACAGGATTTATTTATTTTGTCATATTTATATGGATGCCCATTTGACAGACAAGATACTCTGGGTGGTGTACCAATAGAAGAAAAAAATATGGGAAAGAAAAGAGAGATGATAGCTGATGATGGATATACTTCATTTCTTTCCCTCTAGTTCAATCTCCCTGACC